GGGGGCCTCGGCACCAGCGGAGGCTCCCGAGGACCAGGGACAGCACCCACTGCTGGAGACGCTGCTTCACGTCCTGGCGCTCTCTTCTGCAGCGGTGGGTCACTCTCAAGCCGGGGTCCTGAGCCAATGCCTTAAGGTTCTGGTGAAATTAGCAGAAAACGCACCCTCTGCACTCTTGCCCAGGTACAAAGCACATGGCAGTTGGGGCGTGGGTCTTACCCGGCCCTCAGGGCCCTGGGACTTCACTCACCCTGAGCCATCTACACTGCTCGGTCTGGGTTTGGGTTGGTTTGGGCTCTGAGGCTTGGTTCAGGGAGTTCTGAAGTGACAGGAAGTGGAACGAGGTGCTGAGAAGACCAAGGAAGTGGCTTATTTGGGTCAGCTCTGCCTCAGAACAGCAGTCAGGGGTAAGCAAAGGGCACACGAATTAGCCAGGGAATCATAGCCCCTGTGGAAGAGGCTTTTGAACCCGAGCACGGATCAGGTAAAGATCACGCACCTCAAGCACATTTAACTTCAGTGGGAGGGACCTGCAGATGGCATAATGGTTACATTGCTGGACTCCCATGTAGTTGACTGTGGTTCAAATCCTGGACCCGGCAGCTTAAAACTCACACCAGGTGCATGTGTGTGCATGCCCAAAATCCCAAGAGGAGAGTGGAGGAGAAGGGATTGTGGTGTGGCCATTCCCCCAGGGGGTGATTTCTTGCTTTCTATCTCTGGCAAGCACTTGAACCCTATGGCAAAAGCCTCTCTCAAGGAAAAAAAGAAAGAAAGTTTGGTGAGCTCCCACGGAGGTGGAGGGGCGGGGCCTGCCCCCATCACAGGCCCGGCTCTAGTGGGCGTCACGGTTGCGTGCCCCTCTGAGCCTGCGGGAAGTGGTGTAGCGTGGTGACCCAGCTGGTGAATGCGGTCCAAGCTGCGAGGCGGAAGAACCGTCGACACTGTCCAGCCCACTGCCTCGCCCACAGCCCTGTGCCCACCAGGACTCTTCCAAAGGCTGGTTTCTCTGTGGGACGGCTCCCAGGCTGGGCACACCTGTCTTCTCATCTCCGTGCTCAGCACGCCTGCTTCTTAAAGATGCTTCTGGGCCCTGGGTTCCACCTCAATCTTGTGGGTCTGGTCCTGCCTACAGGTGACACTCTGAGCTGGACATAGCACAGCGGCCGGGGCAGGGGGCACACGGCTTGGCCAGGCCTGTCATCCGGGGGCCTGGCAGGGGCCCAGCTCACCACGGCTGATTGTCAAAGGAACGTGTCCCAGGCCCGTGCTTCACCAGTCCCCTTGGTAGGCACTCTCTGTTGCAGGCCTGCTGAGCGTGTCTGTGGGACACGTAGGGGTCCTCTCAGCCACACCCGATGCTCCCTTCCACTGGCCCCACACCTCCACCCTAGCCCGCTGCTAGGGCTCAGTGTTCCCTGAGCAGAGCCCCCGTGCTGAGGCAGGGCAGTTTGAAAGCCCACAGGGAGCACACGGCACAGCCGTCCTGTCACTGACACCATCTTCCACTCAGTCTCTTCAGAACCCTTCCGGCTCACCGCAGAAGCCGAGCCCCGCTTCTGCAGTGTCCTGTGTGCCTCGGAGTGAAAGCTGGCCAGGGCTGCTGCTGGGCCCTAGAGCAGCATGTGATGGGGTCAGGAGGGCTGCGGGCGCAGCTGTTCCCAAGCCTTAGGGAGTCCTTGCCCACGCAGGCTTGTTTCCCTGCCACACCTCTTACAGCCCTTGGGTCCAGGTTTGGCAGGGGCTTTGGGGAAAACAGGTCTCATCCCCACCCTCAGCCAGGTTGGCATGACTGGGGCTCTACATAGAATTATTTTTTACATTTTTGCTATAGGGTACTGCACTCACCAGAGACACAGAGACAGAAAGGTAGAAATCATCCCTTGGGGGATGGCCACACTGCAATCGCTTCTCCATTCTCATCTGGGGATCTTGGGCATGCACCCAGCATGCATTTTAAGCCATCGGGTCTGGGACTCGAACTGCAGTTGACTACGTGGAAGTCTAGCAACATACCGTTGCACCATCTGCTGGTTCGAGAATTTTTTCTTTTTAATTTGCTAGAGGGTGCATGTGCTCTCTGGAGCTGTACAGAAAGCACACACACACACCCATGGAGAATGGTCACACCCAATCCCTCTATTCTCCTTTCAGGATTTTGGGCATGCATGCACACATGCCCAGATTGAGTTTCAAGCTGCTGGCTCCAGGACTTGAACCAGGGTCAGCCATGTGGGAATCGAGCACTTCAACCATTATACCACCAACAGGCATGTTTCTTAAGCCACCTGGCCCAGGACTCAGAACAAGGTAGAGAGGCGGTGTGGGGTCCAGCCATTTCAATCACCACACCACTGGCTGGTCCCAGGACTTCATTTAAAAAAAGAAGTCTCTAATGTGGGCCCGCCCAGGCCTGGTGTTACCTGTGGTGGGCAGGTCAGCAGTGTGACCCCAGGCCTGGTCACTGGCTCTGGCCCACAGTGTACTGTGGAGTGATCACGGGGACTAGGGCCTGAGCCTTCACTGGGGCTGCTGCAACTTAGGGGAGGCCAGCCCTCACCTGGCACAGGGCACCCAGCTGCGGCCTCTGCATGTGCCCAGACACTCGAGTCTGCTCCCCGGCAAGGATGCAGGTCGCACCCTCAGTCTGAATGTCCTGTGCTCACCAGCGAAGGACTGGCTGGCAGTCCAGAGTGACGTGTGGGCATGGCTGCAGGTGGGTCTCAGGAAGCTATGAGCAAGGAAGACCCTCTCCTCCACTAGTCAGGGAATGCCAGTCTTTTCTGGGTACGCACGGGCATGGGGACGCTCCTGCCCCTCAGGCTTCGCCACACGCAGGCAGGGGCAGAGTAGTGAGCCATCTCGGGGCCTGCCTGTCCCCTGCTGCCTGGTGACACGCAGCCCTGTCTTTCAGGCTGCGGTGTGTGTTCCGGGTGCTGCCAGCGTGCCTGGGCCCGGAGACGCCCCTGCCGGGCGTGCTGCTGGCTGCTGAGCTCCTCTCCCTCCTGGCAGACCACGACCAGCTGGCGCCTCAGCTCTGCTCCCGCTCCGGTAAGGGGTAAGGCGGGGCAGGGCGGCTGGGGCAGAGCCAGGGCCCCTGGGGCTCTGCTGCTCACCCAGGCCCTGGGCGAGGGGCCCTGAGTAAGTGCGTCCTTTCCAGAAGGCTGCCTCCTGCTGCTGCTGTACACCTATGTCACCTCACGGCCCGACAAGGCGGCCTCGGACACACAGTGGCTGCAGCTGGAGCAAGAGGTAAAGCCCCTTCCGGCCTGCCCCGAGGGCCGCAGAACCTCCCTCCTCGTTCACCCCGGTAACTAGTTCATCCAGCAGCTGAAGAGGGTACCTCAGTTTGGGGGCTCCACCCTACACAGATGCAGTGCCCAGGACCCCCAGTCTGTCAGCGGGGTTGCCTGCTAATTGTCCATGCCCTGGCCGTGGGGCCTAGTGGCTGGAGGTGGGCCTGGAGGCCAGTGGGCTGTAGGCAAGGCTCAGTACTAGCCCCGGGCCTGTTTTGTGCAGTTGCCGAAGCGAGGGGAGCCCCCGCCCCACGCTGGGTGGGACAGAATGCCATCTCGTTCCAGGCTGTGTGGCTCCTGGCCAAGCTTGGCGTGCGGGGCCCCTCTGTCCCGCTCACAGGCTCCGACTGCCAGTGCAGTGCAGAGGTGAGTGGGGCCTCGCCTGGGTGGCTGGCCGAGCAGGCTGTGTGGGTGCCGGAGGCCAGGCCTCAGCCTGCACCCTCACCCCTAGGTGGTCCGAGCACTCACGGTGATGCTGCACCGACAGTGGCTGGCGGTGCGGAGGGCAGGGGGGCCCCCGAGGACCACGCAGCAGAAGCGGACGGTGCGCTGCGTGCGGGACACGGTGCTGCTGCTGCACGGGCCGGACCCG